AGTGAAACCGGGATGAGAAACTTTGATGCTGAAAGTTCCTCCGTTGTACAAGATAAGGGACCGGGAGATGAAACCGTGGATGAGCTGCATAGTGCTCTTTTAACTCTGCCCGGACCTTGGAGGACTTTGGCGGCGAGCGAGAGCAATCTGCAGCCCGAGATCTCCCTCTCCAGAGCAGTCTGAGCGGCCGCCATCCGCGGAGCTCGGCGCGCGGGCTTTGCCAGCAGAGGGGCCTCTCTTCAGCACCCCCCGCGCCTGGCGTGTGAGCCGCCACCGCCAAAAGCCCCGGCCGGACAGACCCCCCGTGTACCAACACGGCAGGGCGCGCGGCTGCCCCTGGCAGAGAAGCGGCGGGGGGAGGGGAAACAGCAACCTCGCGTTCCCCCTGCGCCGTCCCGCCGCCACCGGCCGGNCCACGCGTGCGCGAGACGGCTCGCCCTCGCGCTCCCCCCGCGCTCCAGCGGGGAGGCGCGGGGAAAGGAGAGCGAACCATGCTCCGCACACATCTGAGTTCTAGCAGCGGCCCCCCCGCACCCATAAAGGTGGCGGGGGGAGAGAAAGACAGCGGCAGGCCCCTCCGCCGGGACCTTCCGCACCAACCCGAAGAAATACCTCAACAAGCCCTCCAGCGGCCTGAGCCGCGCCAGAGTCCTGCAACCCCTGCGAGACCCAAACTTCCTTACTCACTTTGTACCTTTTAAGTCTTGTGTTTACAGAACTAACAACCAGCCGCGAGGAGATGGTAACTTCGAATTCCCTGAACCTTCCTGAAATTCACGAACTACTGTTTTAACAACCAAGAATTTATAAATCCCTCAAAACCCCCTCGATTATATTTAAAGAAAAAATCCAATGGAAAAAACAACAACAACAAAAAACCAAAAAAAAAACCAAAACAAAACAAAAAAAACGGGATAAGAAGAGGGGATCAAAGCAGCATAAATTGCATTGTGCATTATTTTTATCACTTTGGTGTTCTTTCAAACTACTCTATTGACAAGTTAGACTGTCAATTCGAACAGACTAACAATGTTGTATATAGTGTTGTATATAGTGTGTGTACTAATTCACTGAATTAGAGACATTGGAGTCAACCATCAAGTCCTTGCAAGGAGAACAAATCTTAAATACCAAAACATAAGCCAAAATTCTAGATGAATTCTAGACCAGCATCCATTCAAAGTTCTAGCAAAGAAACCTCTTGAGCTGTGTTTGTTCTCTCTCCTGCAAGGGCCCAGCAGGATGTAACAAACACTGCCTTTTTTATTTTTTTCTAACAGAAAGGGTGAGTTATGGATGCTAGCTTTGGAACAGGCTGCAGGGAGCTGCAGAAAATGCAGGCCCATGGCCTCTCAGTCCTGCCTGAGAAACTAGCCTGGGAATTCAAAGGAGGATTTCAAAACAATCCTCAGAGACAGAAAACAACTGCCAGGTGCTGTTTGTCTGTCCTCTTGTTTCCTCTTGCAGGAGAGGGTCAGGGGGGTAAAGTGCCCCTGACCAATGATGGTGATGTAGCACTTTGCTAGCCAATAAGAATTTCTTTTCTGTACTTTTCCACGTATCTGTCTATAAGACAGGCCTGAAGCAATAAACTAGAGAATTCTCCTGTTGAGACTCCCTTGAGAGTCCAGTGTCGTTCTTTCTAGCCGTTCCCAATCGAAACGACAAGGGGCAGGAAGGGGAAGAAATACATGTGTGAAAAAAAGAGAAGTATTCATAATTGCTTCTGGGTTAGTGTCCTGGGTTGATTATGATGTTAAATTGTACCCCCATTCGTACACCTAACCCAGACATAGGTTTTGTATTCTTAAAATTTCATCTAAGAGTAAAAGTGAGTGGAAAAGAAGCACCCAGTCTGTTATCAGAGACTGTACTTGCTCCTCCCGCATTGGGAGTTTTGACTACAGCACAGACAGACAACAAGACACAGATCGCCTTGGCTTTCCAACTAGCCGAAGCAGAGAGGTCTTCCTGGACTGTTTTCTTTCCCTTTTCCTTGAACGGATCGAACCTGCTCTGGTCTGGGGACTCGGGGGAACACCGGGACCTTGCACCTGTGGACTATCGGGAGCCCAGCCTGGGCAGTGGCATTTTCCAGCACCAGAGAGACTGATAACAGAGTGAACACCCACAGGAAAGAGACCCTCTGAAGTTTGTCATCTCTTCTGAAGGGCGAGAGGTTTTGTAATTTGATGTCGTTCATTTTTGTACTGGGTAGTGCTGTGCCTGTGAAATAAACAGGTTTTTTCCACTTCTCTCAGAGCAATCTCTTCCCGAACTGGTTGGGGGGTGGGGAAAAAAGGCCACGTGAGTTTGCTTCCTGGGGGGAGTCCCACTGGAAGTTTTCTCCCAGATTTGCTCTAAACCAGGACAGTTAGTCATAATACTGCAAATTGCAACTGGTTAAGAATTTTCTTTTTGACCTTTGTGAAAAAATGAGGTTCACATTTTTTATATAAAATTTAAGAAGTTTAATAGAAAGACAATTAGGAGATAGAAATAAAGCAAAATATACAAATACGGCTGGGTGGCTCAGCATTCTGCCCAGAGAGCACACCTGACTAACAAAGGATTGTCCCTTAGAAACAGAATTGTACTACATATTCATAAATTCTCATACATAATTCAAACACTCCTCTTAAGTTTTAGATGTTTCTTTGTTTAGTCCCAACTCGCCTCCCCCCCAGTAGATCAATCCTCTTGGCTCCACCAAATTTCACATTCCCTGATAACAGAGGTGCAATAAATTCCTCCCCCAAGCTCCGGTCACCACCGTCTTCATCTAGATAAGATAATCTAAAAATGCAGGGGGGTCTCTGACTATCGGTTATACAAACAAAAGTAGTTTTTGCTTTAATACTATGCCATAGCTCAACATATAAATGTATTATACCACTATTTCTAAATTTCATCAATAACAGAAATAGAAAGAACTATATTAATACAACAAAGTTTTCTAACCTTATACATATAACATTAATTTTAATATTTAATAAAAGAATATAATATAATATAATATAATATAATATAATATAATATAATATAATATAATATAATATAATATAATATAAATCTATAATACCTTGGACCCTCCATCTAGCCATTATTTGCAAAGAAATGGCACTCTCTTAATCACAGTAATAGCAACATCAGCAGTTTTTAATTTCTAAAAACACCATCCAATAAAGACTCCTTTACCAGAATGCCCTTGAGATTATTGTTTCCATTTGAGAAAATGAAACTGAGGCACATAGACACTTAAAATAACAAGAAGAATGCTGAAGTCCCAACTCCAAATTCCGTGTTGTAACTATTTAAACTTGCCCTTTAGTTTTCAAGCTTATGTTTTATGTTTTAAAAAGACACAGCTATACAAACCTTCTAATCTGTGTGACTCGTAAATTGTTAATTCATGGCTGATACTTTTTTTTTTTTTCTTTGTCAACACAAGGTTGAGAGCCAAAATTAACTCAGCTTTAATCTGAAGACCTCCTTCAAACAGCAAAGAAAACTGAGTTGGATTCATTGAGGCCAAGCCAGAGGCTAAGGTGTGGGTACTTCTCTCTTCAGACAGCTTTCACTGACACCTAACTTAAATTAAATGAATAAGCAAATGCTGAGGCGTTCAGGTGGATCACAGCCTGCCAGGCCAGGTGCACAAAAAACCCAAGGTATGCATCTCAAATGGAGAAAATGAAGTAAGCTACATAACAAAGAGCAGGCACTTGCAAGCTTGGCAGCCTCAATCCCAATTCAGCCAGACTTTGGTACAGTTCAGTCACCTTTTCCAGGGTCAGATCTATGCTGGTGACTTGCAGGAGGTTAATGCCTTCATGGTATGCAATCTATGCTCTGGGCTCTAGTGAATCATCATAATCGTTCACTTTTACTGTTCGCTATGGCTTGAGCTCAGACACGTCCTCTCCACTACCCTTTCCAACACGCTCATTTTATTTTGCAGCCTCAGTACAGGTCTTAACAAGAATGATCTTCCAAAAGAAATTATTTCACTAAGAATATCTGCCTACTAAAGAGGAATTAAAAAGTGGTGATTATTTCAATCAGTTCAAGAGTCTCTCAAACAGGCTGGCATCATGAGTTACTTTTATCATTTTATGGTAATTTAGATCTCAAGATGAGAAGGAATATGTACAATACGTGTGACATTCTCCACCTGCTTGACATGGTTTTAAAGCATTACCTAAAAAATCACTAGAAAACGTACTAATTTCTTGCTGTGAGATATGGATCAGGAGAAGGGCAAAGCAGGCTTAAAACTTAAAGGGAATAAACGAAGTTTATTAACAAAACTACAAGAATAAGAAACTAGAATAAAACCTCCAGAAACCCTTTTTCCCCACCACTCAACCATTCCTTTGTTTAATTGACAACATAGAGGAAAAAAAACCCTGGTGGTTAAAACAGTGCCAACTTTTCTATAGTCTTTTCATCAGTCTTTGTAGAGAAAAAGAAGTTCTCTTTTGTCAATCTATGGAGCTTTTCACAAGAAAACCATTTCTCATGGCTATTTCTCTGATGCCAGCCGCCTGGAAAACTCCGCCATCAGTCCTTTCCTCCCATTTCACACCACTCTGAGGTGTGTTCGTGGGCCATAGTTCAAGGGTTGTCATTTTAAGGATGAGTTATTCAAAGGCAAAAATTCTCTTCATCTGTCTCTGTGATCATCTCTGGAAACAGAAGTTTTCTCTTTGTCTCTTAAGGGCCACAAATCTTCAACAATTCTCACTTCTCCATTTCTGTTCCAGCATCTCTTAGGATCACAACTACTTCACGATTTACCCAGCTCTATCAATGAATTACTTTTGTTTAGATCCACTCTTTGAAATACTCCATTTCCCCCCAAAACACTCTTTCATGAATTAAAGGAGTTTTTTCAGAACATTATTGTCCATCTCCATAGCTTTAACAAAAGAATATTTCAGCTTATTAAGACATCTCCTTATTTCTCTCCCCATCTGGAGCTTAATTCCTTTCTTCACTGTCTTTGATAGTTTATGTTGTCTCTTCGCTCTCTCTTCTCCGCTCTCTGGAAAAATTATTAATCTGCAAGTCTCATCTGGGTAGTGAAAGGGTTAAAATCTGTCTCAAACCACAGCAGGTATTCATGATGTCATGTTTCAGCTCAGTGGCGATTACAGCTCTGGACCGCCACTGGGAAAAAAAAGCTTCAGCCACCCCAGAGGCTTCCCCGGAGGCTGTACCAGAGCCCAGCCCGACCTGGGCCTGGGGAGAGTCCCACAGGCTTCATCTCCCAGCCAGGAGGCGCAGCAGGCCCAGCCCAGCCTAGCCCAGCCCCCACCCGTGCCGCATGGCCTGGGCAGGGGACAGGAGCCAGATGGAGTCCTGTTACCTTTCAAAGCTGGAAACCAAAGAGAAAGAGAAATTCCCGGGCTTAGGTTTTAAAGGGTGGTGTTCACAGGTTGATCTCACTTTTCAATGGTCAAACCTCAGAAATGGCCAGTTATAGACCAGGAAAAAAAACTCCCATGAGCCTCCAGCAGCCTTAACTTCCTTAGCTGTTTCCCTTTTTTTTCTTAAATGCCAGACTATCACACTGTTCCACTTTATGGTTGTACACATGTATTTCAGTGTGGGAATTGTATTTATAGTAAAATCAATCACTCCCAAATGTTCTGATTATATACAGGTATAACCTTTTCTAGTATACAGACATTAAAAATGAGATTCACTTAATAAATTATAAAAAGCTTAATATAAACAAAAAGACAATGAGGAGACAAAAGAAATAAAGCAAAGGGTTAAAACGGCCGGGTGCCTTGGCGCGCTGCCAAGAGTACACCTGGTATCTCAGTGCGCTGCCAAGAGCACACCTGGTATCTCGGGAACTATCTTTTTATCCCCTCCTGCTGTGAGGGTTTAATGATTATTCAAACTTTTTCAACAAGTATTTAGCATGTCCCCTCCCTGGTTCCACCTATTTAGAACATGATTTGTATAGTTTTTATTTTTGCTGACAATCATTATTTCTGCTGGTCATCATTATTTTTGCTGACCACCATTATTTTGAGTCTGGTTTCCTTTCTTCTGCAAATGGTCAGTGTTGATAACAGTCTGGGCCCCTCATCCTTCCTTTGAGGGCAGCTGGGCTTCGTATCTTCTGCTGATAACAGTTTGGGCTCTATTGTTCTCCTGATAATAGCTTGGGCCCCACTGCCTTTGCCCTCTGGGGCTTCCTTGCTTTGTACCTAGGAGATTTCTTTAAGCTTAAAACTTGTTAGCAAGAAGAAAGTACATACATAGCCAAAAAGTATTTAACATATAATATTCATCTTAATACTTGCGAAAGCAAATATCACAATATAGATTTATAACACAGAGAAAGAAAAAAGAGAGCTCTTGAGAAACAATGACATTTAATTGCTGATTCTAAATTTGGTGGAGTTTTGCTGTCTGATTCTGTGAGGTCTATTACCCCATCTAATCCTGCAATGGGGTTCTGCTGAGAATGAGCTAGGAGTGAACCTCAGTGAGACATCAAAATCAGACTTTAGCATGAGAACACTTTCTGCATATGTCCTAAGCATTTACCACCTTAGAGACATCTGTTTGTACTTTTTATGAAATTCTGTGTGTCTTGCTAGCAAATACCTTGTGACAATTTTAAATAAGAATGTACAGTTATAATCTCTCCCCCAAATGCCAGATAGTAAACATTACATTTTTCAAGTATTTCAGCATCTGCAGCCTGTATTTTGGCTGCTTTTCTCTGTATTCTCTGAAATACAGAGTCTGCAAAAATATGCCTGGAGAATAGCTGCAGGGTTACTCATTAAAAAGGATTAGCACCTTCCCTACCTCTTTCATGCATTCAGATATGAAGAACTAAAATGGCATGAGCTGTTTCTCTTGTTACGTACTTAAACTGTTCCTTAAACTACTCTAGGCATCACTCTTCTCCAAATTACCTTCCCATCAATCAGGTTTTTCCCCCTCATTTAATTCATGTTTACAGCGCATATTTGCTTCCAAAGATTTTTTCCAGACATGCTTTGCTGTATCTGTACCATCTAATAAACTTTCTGCATATGAATATTCCCAGCCTTGTCCAACTAATACACTATTTCTCCATATGTTTCCTGAGTGCTGCTTATCCATTTGTCTGTGGATGCTTGTACATTGTTGAGAAAGCATCCAGGGCCTGGATGCTGGATCAAAAAGCCAGAGAAATGTTAGTTAGCAGTGAAACGCCTCAAGTGCCAGAGGTCTGGCTCAAGAGATCTGTTGGATGGAGAGCCCACACACTGAATGGAGGTTGCAATGCCCTGCTCATGACTGCATTAATTTTAGATCAGCTGAACCAGTTTTGTCCTTGCTAGCCTCTAAAGAAGCCTTGCTCAGCTATACTTCTCCTTGCTGCCACATTTCTACACAAAAAAAGACCTTCTGGTGGTTGCAAATGGATGGACGTCATTAGCAGACATATGACACAAAACATTAAAGGGTTTAGAAAAGCAGGTACAGATTAACATACTGAATTTTCAGGAAACAATGCTGAACTGATACATTTGTAATTTTCTGTTGTCTAAACAAAGTAGGAAATATCACAAATATACAAAACTGTGTTGCAAAGGTCATCTTAAAAAAAAAAAGAAAAAGGCCAAATACATTATTACAAACATAGCATGAAATCAGAGCATATGATCCCCTCTTCTGGGTCCCATAGTATTAGACTGCACTATAATCCTGAAGTCTATCATGTGTGTGTCCCTGAGACTATTTTTCCTTAGGCCATTACTAGCAGCCAGAGTTAGCTGTTCGTGTGTCTTCATCGGCAGCATGCTTATTAAGTGTTTGCTTTGTGCAACAGCATTGTCTCTAAATTCATACTTTTCTTGTGTTTAACTTTGGAGTGAAGTACCACACCCTTGAAGGCTTTTTAAAAATCTGAACTTCTTGGAAAACTGCAATTTTGACATTATCCCGACATCATTTTACAAAATTATAGAATGGCCTTGGGTTGGAAGGGACTTCAAGAGAGATCATCTAATTCTAATGCCCCTGCCACGGGCAGGGACACCTTCCACCAGACCAAGTTACTCAGAGCCCCATCCAAGCTGGCCTCGAACACTCTCAGGGATGGAGCATCCACAGTTTCTGCAGGCAACCTGTTCCAGTGCATCACCACTCTCACAGTTAAATATTTTTTTCCTATTATCTAATCTAAATCTACTCTCTGTCAGTTTAAAGCCATTCCCTCTTGTCCTTGTCCCTACATGCCCATGTACATAGACTCCATCTTTCTTCTAGGCTCCCTTCAGGTACTGAAAGCCAAGATTTATTTGAAATGACACAAGAGTACTGAGTAGAGAGAATGCTTCTGCACATGTAATAGTTGAAAGCTAACTCAGTATGTGCTTACCTTAATAGAAATTACAGACGTAAGGTCCATTAGATCATCTTTAAGAAGCCAATCCTTATCTGAGGGGAGTTTACAGCCTCTGGTAGTAATGCAAGTAACCAGCACAAGAGAGACAATTTCAGTTTCCAGCTGACTTAGTGGCTTAAAGGGCTGAGTTAACAAGGCCAAGGCTATTTTTTGGTATGTAGTCATTTCTCTTGGTATCCTCAGCAGTGTTGCCTCATCAGCTCAGCTTTGTCCTCAGAGAGCTTTGGCAAGGGACATCCCTGGTGCATCAGTGCACAGGGTGGTCTGCAGCCACAGACACTTTAGAGAGGGCAGAGAGCTGCATCAGTCAGGAGTCAGGCAACCCCAAAATAGAATGGTTTGATAAAATCATGACCATTAGTAAACTGTCATGAACCAGCCTTTTCATAAGAAGTCTGTTTACATGATTTCAATTAAATTCCACTTTTTATTAAAAAGTTTTATTAAAAGTTTTAAGTATGTGTGTATTTTGTTATTGCTTTTTTTCTGTCATAAATTAATTTGATAGAATATGCTTTAGGAAGCTTAATACTAAAGCCATAGTATCTTTGTCAGAATTAATTAGTTGTTCACAAAGATTCACATACTCTGAAGTTCGTTAATAATGATAATTTATTATTTTCAAAGTTTAATAACCTTGGTTTGAAGTGCAAAGCAAAAAATCGAAGTAAGATCGGCAACAGCAGTCAGGAATTGATCAAAATCCCACCTTCAGTAATGCCACACCAGTATTTTTCCACACATTTTCCACTCAGATCTCAAATTTCTGGCGGAGAAGGTCAGAAACATTTCCATTTCACAGACAAAACTAAGGTACAGAGTGCAAGGCTGTAACTTGCTCAATACTATTGGCTAAACCGGTACCAGAAGTACAATCCCCATTACTCAGATCTCAAGTCCAGTTGCTGGAAATTCCCCTCTCCTTTCCTGTCCGTCAAAGGCGGCAGCCAGTAATGACCGTGCCCGCTATGCTCTTCCCTCCCTGCCAAACCTTACCTCTTGCAGGTCCCAGACAACAGGGCCAGCGCAGCCAGCCCATAGCTCCGTGTCCTCACGCAGCAAGTGGCGTTTACCACAGGCGAGGAAACCCACGAGTGCGTAACACGTACACGGCTTTATTTAGGACTGAGGGAACCGAGGACGAACATCTACACGATAAGAAGGCAAACAGAAAGCCAAACGTCGCCCTTGGGGCCCTCCAGACCTCGCTAAAGCGGCACCCAAAGGAAACAAGTCCCTGTCCTCACCCTGCACAGCACTGAAGCCTCCCATAGCCGCCTAACCTCCGGGCAGAGCTCCCGAGCGCGCACAGCCGGCCCGGCACTGGCACACTGCGCTAGCAGCGACCAGGACAAGTGAAAGATATTCAGTATTCCCCCCACCCTCCCTCGGCGAAGCAGCTGCCGGCACAGCCCGAGACAGATTCGGCCCAGCCCCCCAGGCCCGCTCCCTCCAACAGACTTCCGCGTCGGGGACAGGTCTGCGCATGTGCGAGCAACACCAGCACCCCACCCCCCCACC